AATAGTTTACTTAAGCATTTTGTGGTAAATAATTCCGATGCTATAGAATCTTATTCTAGGTTATGTACTTTATTATTTTCTGTAGCTGAAGATACAATAAGAAGCTCTAGATCAGATCGTAGTGTTAGAACACAAAATGTCAATAGAAATTTGCAGAGTAGGGAAAAGAAAATGTTCATACCTCTACCCTGGTGGAACGATAAATGTACTAAAGCAGTAGAGGCTTGCAAACAGGCATACATTTTATTTAAATCAAATCATTCTTTGCAAAATTACATAGCATTTAAAAGAGCTCAGGCAGCCAAGAAGCTTATTATTAGAAATGAAAGCCGTTTTGCTTGGGAACAATTTTGTTCTTCTATATCACGCTTAGTTCCTATGAGTGTCATTTGGCAGAAAATGAGAAAATTCAATAAAACATATACACCCCCAAAAAGTTTTCTAAAAGGAGAGTGGATAAATGAGTTTTTATGCAAATACACACCTGATACTGTAGAAAGACCTTCCAATTTTTGTACTAATACTAGTAATTCAAACTTGCCCCCCTCCAATTCCTACATAGTCGATCCTTTCACACTAGTTGAGCTCCAGGCTGCACTGAAATCAAGAAAAGACACTGCCTGTGGACTTGATGGTTTGTCTTATAAAATGTTTAAACTTCTAAATTCATCTAGTCTGGAAAAGTTCTTAGAAATAATAAATTTACTATGGCAATCTTCTATCATCCCCAATGAATGGAAATTAGACTGTATTATCCCAATTCTCAAACCTGACAAAGATCCAAATAGTGCAGATTCTTATCGTCCAATTACTCTTAGTTCTTGTGTAGGGAAAATATTTGAACAATTACTAAAACAAAGACTAGAATTCTATATTGAACATAATCATATTTTACCCAGTAATCAGTTTGGATTCCGACGGGGCCGTTCTGCTCGGGAGAGTCTTAGTCATTTATATTTGGATATTGATAATGCTGTGCATAGTAATAAAGTACTTATTGCTGTTTTTCTTGATGTAGTTAGCGCCTTCAATAACGTAAATTTAGATAAACTGACTTCTATCCTAGCTTCTTTTCAACTTCCCTTAAAAATAATTAACTGGATTAAACTTTTTCTTCATGGTAGACAAATTTATGTTAAATATAATAGTCAATTATTTGGGCCTAGATTTTCTTTTAAAGGCGTAAGTCAAGGCGGTATACTAAGTCCCCTGTTTTATATTTTATATACCCACAGAATCAACATTGAACTTGGTAACGAAGTTTGCAACCTTCAATTTGCTGATGACTTAGTGGTTTACTCTTCTGGTGACAATATACAAGATAATAATTATACAATAAATGGTGCATTAAAAAAACTGAATACATATTTGGATAATCTAAATTTGGATATTAGTATTAATAAAAGTAAGGTAATAGGTTTCAACACCTTCTCCACCAGAATGATCAAAATTTATTACAATGGTAATTTACATCCAACGGAATCATCAACAAAATTTTTAGGAGTTACTTTTCAAAGCAATTTTAAATGGGACAAATATATCGAAACTTTGACAAATAGAAGTATAAAAGCTTGTAACATAATAAAATCATTAGCAGGCACATATTGGGGATCTGATCCCAAATTACTACTAATTTTATATAAAAGCTTAGTTAGGAGTCATTTTGAATATGGTTTTTTCTGTTTTGCACATAAGCCTCAACTAGTTGAAAGACTAACAAAGATTCAAAACAGATGTCTGCGCATTATTATGGGAGCTATGATGTCAACCCCTATTATTTCAATGCAAGTTGAAGCAAACATCCTGCCCTTAAATTTACGGTTTAAATATCTACACTATAAATTTCTATTAAAACTTTCATCATTCATCAGGCATCCTCTACTTTTAAAATTAATGCAAGCTGCTAATAGAAACAGTTCTACATTTTTAACTCATGGCTTAAATGAAATCAAAGTTTTGGCATCCAATAACAACATCTATCAGAGCTTGAGCCTACCTTGCTACAGTGATTCATATCTAAGTAAATTTTCATCAATAAATGTAGTCATAGACCACAAATTAAAATATAAAGAAGATGTTTACACAAGTTTGCAGAGTTTCATAGGGTATAGCCAAATCTACACTGATGGTGCAAAGAGCAATGAAAGAGTTTCTTTGGCCTTCTATGATTTAGGAGCAGAGACAGGTTTAGGTTACATGTTATCAGAGAAAGCCAGTATTTATACAGCAGAGTCTTCAGCCATTTTGGAGGCTCTTCATTACATTGAACATCAAAATCATCCTAAATGGATAATAATCACTGACAGCATGAGTGTTTAAAAGCTTTAGACAGTCCCAAATTCAATGCTAAAACTAATTATTTAATTTACCAAATCAGGGAAAAACATTAACAATTAACACACTCAAATATTGTAAGGGATATTGTCTTTTTCTGGACCCCCTCCCATATTGGTGTTGTTGGAAACGAAGAAGCAGATTTTATAGCCACTTCTATTACAAACGATATCCATAGTAATATTATCAGCTCTGTATTTAAGGCCATTCTAATACCTGAAACGGATCTTTTACACTACATAAAGAATAATATAATAGATACCTTCAAAAGGCTTTGGTCCAGAATTACTGAGACGAAAGGCAAATGGTATGTTGAAATCAACAATGAAATCAGTATTCCATGGTTCTGCAAAGGAAAGGATTATTATGGTCGAAAGTTTTTTACAACCATCTGTCGCTTGCGTTTAGGACACTGTCGTTTTAATGCTCATCTACACAGGTTGAACTTAATCTCGTCTTCTGATTGTAATTATTGTCGTCTACCAATTAGCCAAACTCTTCATCATCTGTTTTTTGATTGTAGTGCCTTTTCGTTACAAAGAATCATTTTTATAGATCAACTCTTAGATATTTATAAAATATCTGCAAATATCCCGCGCTCTCTACCTCAGCTCTTATCAAACAAGAGTTGTTTTAAACCTATTTATCAATATATCAATACGACCGTTATTGATATTTAAATTTTGATTGTTTCATATTACAATCACATCTTCATACCTCTAACTTGACTAAAGACCTTGCTTTACGAACTCACAATTATGACTTGAAAATAACCCACGAATTGGACATTTTTTAAAAGACTCTTGAACTTGATATGACTTGAAAATATTACAAAATATTCTTGACATTTCTACCAATGACAATGACTTATCTTGACATATACACAAACGACTTGGCTTCGGCCTTACTGAAAAAACACAAAAGAAGACAATATTATAAAAAGAAAAACGCTAAGAAAGAAGTAGAAGTACTTTGAAGACAAGATACCTAAAATAAGACTTAGCTCCGGCTACAAAAAAGAAGAAATACAACTTATTACTGCTTAAATATTATATACAGCATATATTATTCTGAAATATTAAAATTAAGAATTGGCTGTATGGGCACAGTACCCTTTGCCTTCCCAGAATGGGAAAAGGAAAAAAAAAAAAATCTGTGGCGTTCTGGCGTTAGAGCAAGAAAGAAAATTACACAGCCGAACTTGGCGCTATTTGGGTTTCTAAATATTTTAAAATTACGATAAAAATCTGTGTATTTCTGTTATTTAATTAAATTTTAAGTAATTTTGTATTATTTTTAAAACTATAAGAAAAGCGAAGTGTCAGGCTATTAGTAATGGTGCTTCTGATCTGAGCTGGGCAACTTTCACCTAACGCATCTCGACATGTAAAATTGTATTTACCACTGTCGATCTATTGCTACTGTAATTTTATATTAGAACTCGTATAGTGTTAGTGTCCGGAAAATATTTAGTGTTTTTTTTATTCGTGTTAGTCGTAAATCAGTAGTGTCCAACTATAAATATAATAGCTTGCGAAGTGTATAATTTATTTGTTTGTGTTTAAGGTGAGTTAATCATAACAAAAATGTTGTGAAAAATATATTTAGTTCGTCTTCTGACTCCAGTAAATATATCACATTTTAACTAAATCTTTACAATAGTTAAATCTATTTTTTTTTTTTATATTGTATGTTATCTAGTATTTTTTAGAATCAATTTTATGCAGCATTTGACAAAATTTAAAAAAATCTCTACTAACCGGACCGGAACTCTATTAACCGGATTAATTGTTGTTGTTAGGCATTCAGATAATCGAATGTGTGAAGGAAAGCGGGTTTTTTGCATGTAGTACATAATGTTTTGTGTTTATTAAAACCAAACACAAAACAAGAAAATCAATGTTTATTAAGAGATAAACTTTCCAACACACCATGAATGCGCTTATTTATGTATGTACATACATATTTTCTTAGATTACATAATAAAAAGGTAGGCACATAGAAATGAATACAATTTTTTTACAATATGTATATGGTAATTGCATTTGGTAATCATGAAATAAAATAAGTTTAATTTGGTTTGAAATATTTGCTTATTGTCATTTGACATAAGCTAGTTTTACACTTCATTGCTGCTATTATATTATATTTGTTTTGACTTTAAGAGATAGCACTTACGCATTAATATTTTTCAATAAATGTATTTGTTACACATAATTTTGAGCAGAGTAGCAATTGCTAACGAACTAAAACAATAAAGAAATGCGCAGCGATCACACAGGGCAAGAGCGAGATATGCCAGTTAAATTCGACTTGTAGGTTCATATAATTGGTCACTGTTAGAAGTCTGAATAATCGCGAATCTGCAGAACTGAGGGCTGGATAATCGTGTTTCTACTGTATTGTGTAATTAAATAATATTTTATCACATACATACTTCATACATTATGCAATTCAATATTGATTCAATTTTTTTTTCTTCTTGTCATTATTTAAATTTAAAATTACTTTTCTTTTGTGGGTTGCCTGGAAAAGACTGCTTTATTTTGCTTAGTGGGTGGTAATATTGATGTACTGACATTGCAGATTAAATGGGTTCCTCAAAGTAGTATCAGCTAGTGAAGCTTCCTTTGAAGCAATAATTTAATTTGCCATTGAGGAATTGAATGGCTATGTATTATTACGCAAGTAAATTGAATGAAGCCTCATGTAGTGGCTGCAATGTGAAGGTGCCCCCGGCCCCAACCGAGCCTGCACCAGTACCACCTCCACCTACAGACCATGCACCTCTGCCTCCTGACCCTTCCTTGTTACATGGCACTGGACTTTCTTATTATGATGTAAGTATGTTTTTCTTATATGTATGTAAAATGCATTTTTTTTTTATTTCAAACTATATTGTTTTATATTATAATGGTGGTATTTTTCAATAAAAATTTACAGAATGATGATTACTATTCAATGGTGAGGGGTAATAAGTTTATGTCAGAAAACACATGTAAACACATTGTGGTAAATGGTGGCATAAATTTTGTGTCTGCACAAAAAGTTGAGGCACCACAGGTATAAAATATAACTTATCTAGTGGGTTTCAATTAATTAATTATTTTATTAACTGTTCACATATTATTTTAGTTGACAAATGTAATTACTCCTGGTGTGAAGGCACTCTCATCTCTGCCTTATGTGAACTGCTCTGCTGAAAAATCTGACATAGAATATAAAGATGGAGTGATTGTCAGCGCGCCCTTGGAAATCCTAGTAGATATGTTAAGGCCTGGAGCAAGTAAATCATTTATGTTTACTTTTTTACTGTGCTCCCGATTGTTTGTAAAACCTCATGAATTGCTCAGTAAAATATGCAAAAGATACTTCAAAAATTATGATAAAATAGTGAGTACCTTCTTTATTACTCATCAAATGTAAATAAATTCTTCCAACAGTGAAAATTAACTCTTAATTCACAATTGTTTATTTTAGGGTAAAAATGAAGTCAAAGATTTGATTGAGAAAGAGCTTAATGATATGATAGCCTTGGTAAGAGTATTAAATCAATGGACGAGTATGTTTCCTTATGATTTTCGTGATGACAGAGTGATGGCGCTTGTTCGTAGTATTACACAAAGGTGGGAATCATAATAGTAGCTCCTGAGAAAATAGCTTGAAAGTACTAGAGCAATATTATTGTTCACCATAATAATGTTAGTTTAATGGATAATTATGTTTTGACAGGTGTGCAGCAGAACATATGGCTTCAGTAAGACTTGAAGTGTCAACTATGCTTGAAAAACTACTTGATAAGTTGACAGCTTTAGAACAATATGAAGAAACTTTAATAGATATACCTCAGGTCTCTTCAGTGGATCAATTGGCTCAGGTTATCTTTAATATATTTCCAAATAAATATCTAACTCTAATTTTAGCTATTTGTGTATCTTGATTAATAACTTCTTTTTAAGCATATATTTATCTAAGTGATGTTATTATTTATAGGGAGATATTTTGACTTTGGGGTTAACTCCTGTAGAACTTGCAAACCAATTGACTGCTGTGGAACTACATAGGCTGTCGTTTGTTGGTCCTGAAGAGTTTGTGCAAACATTTGCACCAGCTCAACCACCACAATCTTCCTCATCATGTGCCAAGAGTACTATAAACTTACATCACATTGAAACTAAATCTACACGAAACTTAGAGGCGTACGCTGATTGGTTTAACAGACTCAGTTACTTAGTGGCAACTGATGTATTGAAGGTATAATTTTTAGAGTTATATAAGAGTTATCAATCCTTAGATGCTTTGTTTCATTTGACATACACTGTTTTAAATTTACTAAATGTAAATTTAAGTTATTAGTTCATTTGTTTTTGCTCTGCACTGAGCTAATGAGCTAAACTTTTTCATTCAGAGTTGATTGAGCAAGGTTTTTCTTGACAATACTGTTGATTTCAGAGTGTGAAAAGCAAATACAGAGCCAGAGTTATTGAGCAGTGGGTCATGACAGCCAGAGAGTGTTTCAATCTTGGTAATTTCAACTCACTGATGGCTATTATCAGTGCATTAAACATGTCATCAGTTACAAGATTAAAAAAGACCGTAAGTAATTCAGTTATTCTGACAAAATTATAATTTCATCTGGCATATAATTTGTTCTGAATATTTGTTTTACCTTCACAGTGGAGCCGTACGTCTGCCGTATGTGGTCAGCAGCTACGACAGTTAGAACTATGTGTTGAGCCTGGTGGCAATCACGCAAGGTATGTTTGGACTAAAATGTAGTTAAAATATAATCATATTAAAATATTGTCCCTGCAGTTAACGGCTTGAAATTTTTATGTCAAACCTTTATAACTGCTAAATTTATAAATCCAAAGAAAATCTAAATAATTCAATCAATTCCACTCCCACACAAAAATCCTGTTTGATATCTAAATATAAATATTTTATTTTCGTGTGAAGTTTATTTTAATACTTTGGTTTGTACATAGATATCGAGCGGCTCTGGCAGCCGCGCCCACCGAGACGGCAGTGCCGTTGTTGTCAGTCACTTGCAGAGATTTGCACTTTGCCAACCAGGGTACCCCATCCAAGTGAGTACCTTTATGGATGTACACACATGTATATACAAACGAAGAAATGAATAATGTGATTGCCTTTTATTAAAACTGCACTCTTATGTAACATTGCAATTGAGTTATTGTTTTGTTGATTGGTTTAGTTGAACATTTTATTAACTGTTTTACAATTACAAAATATTGTTATAAAACAAAACAGTTTCGTAATTTCTTATCATCATCTATGCACATCTGTGTTTAAAATATGTTTGAGAAATTATTATCATAATGCCTCCACTTTTGTGTCTTTTCTATAGAGGAAATAGAAAAATCGGGTTATGGCCATGAGCCACAACGGTTTAGCAGCCGGATCAATGGTAACGGCTCAACGTGCCTTCTGTAAAACAATAGAGTTCAAGATAATTTATTTTTGGGCACTCATGAATTCTCATTTCTTATCTTCAACAATCGTACTCTGAGTGTGTTAACTAATGTGCTACCAAGCTGCACACTGGCACTTCACTTGGCTATTCGTCTTTGCTATTTGTAAATTTGACAGTTTGTCCTTATTACTTTAATGTCAAGTTTACAAATAACAAACAGGAATACCAAAGTGAAGTGCCGGCATCAAACAAATAGTATCCGTATATTTTGCAATTGGTAAATTTAACTTTGATTTGACCAAATTCGCTATGGAGTGGTATGTAACACACTGGTTTTTAAGGTAAGCTACACCATAGATGAATGATTGGTCTCGCTTCACTCGACTAGATACCGCGCTATCAAAAAACAACAGCTCCGGTTATGGGGCAACTCATTATTGTAGTGTGTGTATGTCACTTCGCAAGGACGGTGTCATTATGTCAAAAAAAATGTAGCCAGCTGCTTAACTGCTACCCCAGTAATAGGAAAAATATTTTATGCTGTTGTCGATCCACACTAACAATACCAATTACAAAATCCGTACATATTAAATGAATATATATCATTTTTAGTTTTTTTTTGCAAGTATACGTGATGCACGGAGGCGCGAATCCTATAATTTTATCACGCTTGCATAGTTAGTTTCTTTATTTTTATCCCACCTGTCAATAGTTTGGTTACAAATTCTTATAAGTGCCGCCGTAGTCTGAGTGGTATGTACGCCAGTTTTGATGGTGTCGGCCTTCATAGGTCATAGGTCCCGGGAGTTAGGCATTATACATTTAGTGATATCGATTCTGGCGTGATTCTTTACAGCTAAACTTAAATTTGACAACAGTGCATCCTTGTCATTCTCTATACAGAATGAAAAGGAGAGACTGATGTTAAATTTGGTTTTAAGTTCAGAGAATCACGCCAGAATCGACCCCATTATCTTTATAACTCTTTAAAGTCACTGGTGTCGATTCTGGCTTGATTCTCTAAACCTTAACTTGATGACATCAGTGTATCCTTGTCATTCTCTATACAGAATGAAAAGTAGAGACTGGTTTTGAGTTCTCGGCCGATAGCCGCGGTAAACAGCCGTGCCCACGCGAGTGTCCTCACCTAAACCAGTTACCTAGACCCCTGCGTTACGGCGGTTAACGTGTGTGTGGTTAACGGTGTCTCGCACGACTGGACGTCGCGTCGCCTCGCCGCGTACAATTTGCTCGACCAGAGTTCTTAAGCTCCAATACCGTATAGCTTCAGTGGCTTGCGCGTTCAATTAATAATTTTCTACGCGTATGCGAATACCCTTGCAGTTAAATAATAAATAAAAATTGCTTTTGCTTGCTTATTTATTACGCTTTTTGTGACTTGCTACAAAGTGACCACAGGAAATTATTATAATGCCACTTCAACGCTCGCCAACATCGTCTAGCGTCACTGCAGGTGTACAGGCACAATCTGAACCCGATATTCCACCTAAAGTGGGTAAAGAGTTTGAGAAGTCCTTCGTGTCTGTGAGGAATAAGCGCCAGCGCACTGATTCGCCTGACGACAAAAATATGTTTGCGAATTTCAAGGATGAAATTAAAAGCCTGCTCTACTCCTGGAAAGCTGATCAAGAATCCGCCCTTGCACTGTGGAAATCTGACCAGGATTCCTTATTAAAAAAACTTGTATCGGAAATTACAAAAGTTAAAGCGAAATGTATAGATATACAGAAATCCTATCCAGACCTAGAAAAAACTTTGGAATTCGTAGACAAAAAATACGAGGAAATGCACTCAAGAATAGCGGCACTGGAAAAAGAGAAGAAAGAAAATCGGGAATGTCTACTCTTGTTGGAGGGGAAAATTCAGGAGCTGCAATGGATGTCGCGATCAGCAGTAATTGAGGTCCGAAATTTTCCAAAAAATAGTAAAGAGACCACAAATGACCTGGTAAGAATTGTATGCAATATAGGAAAATATCTAAATATAAACATACAGCCTACGGATTTACGAGATATTTATCGCGGCCCCACTAAGCCTGGCTCAACAGGAAATATCATAGTCGAATTTTCGAAGGTACAATTGAAATATGATATTCTTACCTCTGTTCGTAATTTCAATAAATCACTCAAGCCAACGGAAAAGCTACACACTCACCACATTGGATTGCCAGGAGAAAAAACACCAATATATATTGATGAATATCTGTCATATTCGACGAAAAAACTTTTCTTTCAAGTGAGAGCTTTTGCTAAGGAGAATGGGTATAGATTCTGCTGGACTTCGAACTCCAGAGTGTATCTTCGCAGGGAAGAAGGGACTAAACAAGTACTTATTAAATCTGAACAAGATCTGCGTGATCTCCATGCCAAACAGTGACTATTGAGTGTATCTGTGTCATTTTTCTTGGAAGGTGCTTATCTTATTACTATTAAATATTTATTTAGAAAATATAATTGTAAAATATGTACACATAAAAAACTTCCTTATTCACACCGAAGATTCAAACACTTAACAATCAGTCTAACGCACATACACACTATACACAGACGGTACAATCGCCATACCTTATACACATTACATTTAATTTATAAAAATAAGTTAACGATACATTTCCAAAATTCGCGCCCACATGTTTCTTATGACGGTGGCAAATATTTTAACTGATTTAAAAATCTGGTACCTACCTCATGTCACTCAATTATTACGCTAAGCCTACATAAAATAATAATAAAAAAAAACAATTTCCATGCAACCACCTCGTTCCAAAATTTGCCTGCAGATTAAATCTTAAAAATGCTCGATTTAAATGAAGTCACAAATGATCTAGACTCATTTAATGTCGCAAAGTCGCTTCTATGTTCACCCGACGGGTGTATTCAAATAATAGGTGATCCTTTCCGATATTTTCAAATTATTCACATTAATATTAGGAGTATTAACAAAAACCTTGATCAGTTTGCTGCCCTGGTCACCTCTATGAATCTTCAGCTTGATATCCTAATCCTCAGCGAATGTTGGCTTAAAAATTTGAACCGAGTGCCGCAATTGGAAGGTTATAGCTCATATCATACACTTAATAACAAACTTCAAAATGATGGAGTTGTTGTCTATGCTAGAAAGGATTTGGATGTTGTGGTGTGGGAACCCAGCTTTGATGATGGTAACTGCTTGGTATGCACCGTTGAAAAGAAATTTGCTCTTATAGGCATCTATCGCTCTCCATCATACTCTAAAATAGATAACTTCATAACCAGCCTAACCAAGCTCATGAAAACATTGGAACCATTTAAAAATATTGCTATGCTAGGAGACATAAATATTGACATTAAAACACATAACAATGATAGAAACTCGGACTATTACCTTACTTCAACGGCAGCCTTGGGTTTGCTACCCGCCCATACATACCCCACCAGGTTGAGCAGTTGTTTAGATCACGTACTACTGAAAACGAACCTAGTGTCTAAGGCTTTGGTTTTAGAATTTCCGATAACTGATCATCTTCCCATTCTGCTGTGCATCACGCATGTCCAGACTAGATCATGCTGCCATAAAGGAAACCCTCGATGAGAGTAACTTTTCTTCTGTGATGTGCTCGGTAAACGCTGATCAGGCGGCTGAAAATTTTATCAATATCATACAAAATGCTATCGAAACTCATACCACAATGACAGTAATTCCACGTAGAAAAACTCCATTGAAGCCCTGGATCACTGTGGGTCTACTACGTTGTATACGAAATAGAGATAAAATGCACCTACAATTACGTAACGATCCAAACAACCATATTATGAAGGTAACCTATAAAAGATACCGTAATTTTCTAAATAATCTCTTACATAAAGTAAAGCAAGAATTCCAGAGAAGTAAGTTTGCTAAGGCAGGAAAAAATCCTAAGGCTATGTGGAAGGTGGTAAAAAAAGTGACTGACTGCACGAGTCAAGCAGAATCCTCACGTGCTCTTATTAGTGCAAACGTAGACTCCCGTACCGCCCTAAACTCAATAAATAGGTATTTTGTAAATGTAGCTGTAAATTTAGCAAATAAAATTACCGATTCGACAGAGGTTTGTCCACCGACGACGATTGCCCAATCAAATTCTCTGGCAATCCTAGAAGCTGACTCTGATGTGGTAAAACGTATAATTGGTGGATTGCGTGACGACTGTGCTCCCGGATGGGACAGAATCTCTGCCTCTGTGATCAAAGCTTCCAAAGATGTCCAGATCCCTCCGATTACACATATGTGTAATCTTTCCATCTCCTTTGGTACTTTTCCTAGGGTATTGAAACGAGCTGTTGTCAGTCCCATTTACAAGCAAGGGAATAAAAGTGATATTGCCAATTACAGACCGATATCAGTGCTACCGGTACTCTCGAAGATCTTGGAGAGAATAATCAACAATGCACTTGTTGGTTTCTTAGATAAATATAATATAATTGCAAAGAACCAATTTGGCTTCAGATCAGGTGTTTCCCCAGAGGACGCAATCGCGAGTTTTACTAGTGCAGTAGTTGGTAAGGTAGACAGTAAACAGAAATGTTTTGGAATCTTTCTAGACCTCTCCAGGGCCTTCGACACAGTTTCGATACCTGTACTAATCAAGAAGCTGGAATACAGTGGCATTCGAGGTCGG